CAGGACGGCACCACTGAGAACATCAAGAATCCCGGCAAGGTCCTCCATCGTGCCTGTTCGCAATCACGGACTTGCTCTCTCATGCTTTCAGAGCCGTGATGCGCATGTGTGGGGTACTTGAAACCCAGATAGAAGATGCGCAGCCGAGGTGTGACATGGTGTGACCATGGCAGGCCTCGGGTAGTTGACTGAACCGATGTGTGGGTCTCAGTGGAGTCTTTTCGGTTTTGGTTCTTTCGCACGTTGGGTTTTGATGAAAATCACTTCGCAGTTGGCTACGGGACAGGAAACAGTAAGCAGGTGAACGGCTGCTGCTTAAGGAGAAGATTGCTTGGGCGATGAATTACGATGCTGTCTGTGAGGTGCACTTCACAAGTAGCCCGCTTGGCTCGCACTCGTTGGGCTGAGTGCACAGTGGATTGGAGCTTCATGTTATATGACAGCGCAGGTCACTGCAAGCGGTATGCTCAAAGCCTGCGGTCGTCTAGCAAATCATGTGTCATCACTCTACCCCTAAACCCTAAACCGTCTAGACTATAGACTCGCAAATCCACCAGTCACAGCAAACGCGTTCATTTTGAACTTTGAGCATCCGGGGTGCTCAACAAGCGAGACCAAGGGACTAACAGAATCGCAGCATGAGCAGCGAGGTGGTAACAACAACACAGACACTTTCCCGCTCTGGATGAAGAATCACCGAAACTTAAGAGTCTGGCTACTGTGCAGTCTTGGGACAAGTGGGCGGAAGAATCAGGAGCAGCGTTGCAGAACCAGTCCTCGGATCAATGCATCAACTGAGCTTATGCGTTCGCGCCCTGGCCTCGCTGTTTCTTGCTTCTGATTTTTGTATTCCGCGCATGAACCTGTATATCCATAATATACTTGTGGGTCCACATGCAAACATAAATGTCCGCGAACATACGTATGTGCAAGCCAAATGCTTTGAAGCTAAGTTCAGCTTCAAGCATGGCAACATCAGGCTGGCTAGCTCTGCACTCTCTCTCAATCTCATCAGGTCATTTCCATGCAAAACGGCGGGTGAAAACACACAATCGAAATCCAACGACGACTCGCCCAAAAGCGGGTGAGCCGAAACAAGACGAAACAACACGAAGGCTACAGAGAGAGAGAGAGAGCGAGAACATATGTGAATATTCATGTATGTATGTATGTATGTATGTATGTATGTATGTATGTATGTATGCAGGTATGTACGCATATGTATATGTATATGTATGTATGTATGTATGTATGTATGTATGTATGTATGTATGTATGTATGTGTGTATATATATATATATATGTACGTACGTACATACTTACATACGTACATACGTAGTTGTGTATGTATGTATGTATGTATGTATGTATGTATGTATGTCAGTGTGTATGTGTGTATGTGTTACATATATATATATATACGTATGTATAAAACCGAATCTACGTATGTACATATGTATGTGCAACTGTACGTACTATCTGTATGTGTATAGACATACACATTATACACATATATGTAGATATATATGTATGTGTGTGTCTACGGACACGGACCCGTAGCACGCACACACCTGGTTGGTATGTTATAGGTCCATCAATCTATGCTTAAAAAAGAGAGTCACCATGCAGTTTGTGAAATGGGACCAAGCTTCGCATCAGCCGCGCACGTCGGTAAAACACAAGCTAATGGAACACCATTGATGCCGCATGTGCCAAGCTGTGCACTCTGTGCCAATGCTTGAACTTGGATTCTGAAAGACTTCTATTAAGAAAACCTACGTAGGCTTCTTGCCGTTTCTATGGGATTCTGCCGACAACAAACTTCAACGATTCCATGTCAAGGCATGGCAAAACTGCAACGCATAATTGCTCTTCTAAGCTCTAAACGATCAACCTAAACCCCCCACTGTATGACTGGCGCGGACGCCATGACACGAGTTTCGCCCCAACAGACAGGGCCGAGACACGGTTCAATCGTGAGCTTTGCCGTCCCCGAGGCAAGCCAGTAGAGCAACTGCACGAGCCGGCTGAAGGGAATTCACACTTACAGGGCTGAGGGGGCTGAAGCTTTAGGTTTCGGGTCTGAGGGTTGGCCATTTCGGCCGAAGAGAACACGACTGCTGCTGTTGACGGTGTCTTAGAGTCTTTGAGCACTCTTCAAGCCCCTAGTACGCTCTATTCGGCTCTTGCGGCTTCCGGTTTCGAACGCTGGTGCAGCTGCTGGCTGCCATGGAGCCTGCTGCTACTACGACTGCTACTTACTGAGCTTCCGAGCCCTTGGCCCCCGAATATACCCAAAGACTCCAATATCCCTTAATTAAGGAGTATACCTTAAATCATATTGGGATCCTACTATCATTTAAGGCATATAGTCCTTCATCAAGGGATGTTGGAGTCTCATGGTAACTGCACAGTGACCGACTGCAAGCCCTGACCCGAAATCCCTGACCCGATCGCTTCAACACTAACCGCAAACAAGGTTTAAGGGTTTAGGGCTTAGGGTTTAGGGTTTAGGGGGTCGGTCTCAAGAGCCACTGAGCCTCCTTCAATTGCTGCAACTCGGAGTAGTCCAAGCGAACCTCGGCCGACCGATGTTTCTAGAAAGTTGAGGCTTTATTGAGGCTTCACGACTGGCTTGGTTGCGATGTGCTCGGACCCATACATAGACATAAACTCAAGCTGCAGACCCCTTTCCTTTCCGATCTCTGTATTCACAGCTATGTCAGCTATGTACTTCTAGATATTGACTAACTATGGTTTTATGCATACATCCGACATCTCGTTATCAAGCAGCTCAGAACGACTTACAATCCGCCTCTTCTTGCAGCCGGAGTACCACTGCAGCCCAACAAAGGTCTGGCGAGAACCAACACTCTCGCAAACTTGGCGGCATCGGTGGGCAAACACCCGAAAGTAGTTGCTGTTGTAATCTTGTCATAGTTTCACTACAAACCTTTGTGGTGCCATCATCATCTTTCTTTCGGGGCTGTCTTCCACCGACCGGGTCTAGCGGCTAGCAGTTCAGGGAGGTATAGGTCTTGGGTTCTCGGGTGTTGCGAAAGCGGTATGGGTTTTAGGGTTTCGGGTTTAGGATGGGCCAAGCCGCTACACATGTCCGGCTGTGCAAAGCATCTCAATAACCCGTTGACTCACAGATCAAGTTCAAGCAGGCCCATTCTACCACGAGCCGATGCAATCAACGACCCAGAGACACTCGGAGCATTCGGAACAGAGACAGCCGCCACTCACGAACATGGGATCCCTAACACATAACATTTATCGCGACTCGGTGGTCAGCACACTCAAGCCCAGGAATATGAGTCTCGAACTAGGCATCCGCAGCGACCTGGGAAGAAACAGGCATTCGATAAGCTCAAGCCCTGCTGTCCCGGACCACGATGCTGTCGGAGTAGTTAGGTGGTGGAGGCAGCAAAGGGCTTTCGTTGTTGTCGCTACAGCCATCTGACAGCTGGCCGACAAACGCGGCGTAGAATCCCAAGAACCAAGTGCAACTCAATGGAAATATGTCCACTCCATACACACGCACACAGAGGCGCAGCTGCAAGAGAACTGCAAGGACCCCGAAATCCTGAAACTTGTGCCCCTTTGTTGGTCCGCCTTGCCCCCCCCCCCCCCCCCCC